CTCCTCCTCCTCCTCCTCCTTCTCCTGGCTTCGGGCGCGTCCCGGCCGAGGCTCCGAGCCGCCGACTGCGCCCGAGTGAGGCCGCTGGCCGCCCCGCCCCCAGCCCGCTGCTCGCCCCGCCCCACCCCGCCCCGTCCCGAGCACCGCCTTGCGGGGTCGCTGCCCACCCTCCACCCGCAGAGCCTGAGAGCTGCGGCCCGGACCTGGGGACAGGCAGGCCCAGCTCTGGAGTACCCCGAGATCCACATAGGCGGGGAACCCAAGGCAGACCCTCAGCAAACCTCCAGACTGAGTTGCTGAGAGGTTCCTGAGCGCACAGCCACACCAGGGCACAAAATAGAGATTTTCGTGGGTGCCAGGCATGGTGGCGCACACCTGTCATCCCAGCACCCTGGAGGCTGAGGCAGGAGAATTGCCAGGAGTTGAGGCCAACCTGGGCTACATAGTGAGTTCAAGGGCAGCCTGAACTGCTATCGAGACTGTCTAAACCACACTGAAAGAGACACAGAAAATCCGTGGAGACCCTAAAATCGGAAACACAAACCTGAAACTCAGGCCCATCCAGGCTACCGGCAGCCTCAGACCTGCAGACGCACCAGGGCTCAAGCCCGCTTGTGTGCATCCCTTCCTGCCCTCAGCCCTCCTAGACAGCAGCCCTCTTCTCCTCACTCCCCTGTGTATTCACAGCAGAGGTCCACTGCAGCCCCCACCCCGGGCCCTGCACAACTTGGCCATATAGTGCCCCCTGCTCCTTGTAATCAATGGCTTTTCCAAAATCCACCTTCCTGCAAAGGTCCACCCGGCCCTCACTGTCTCAATAGTGAGAATGAGAACCCTGAGACGCCCCAAGCCCACCCTAGGGCGTCCCCAGGGGGCGGGAGGGAGGGGGGAGCCGAAGCGGACATCCGTGGTGCTGAGAGGTTAGAGCTGGGCCAGAGGAGCCACAGAATCTAGAAAGGGGCTGGAGCGGGGTGGTGGATTTCTTAGCCTGTTCATTCCTGTATTTAACAAGTATGGCTAAGTGAAAACGCTGACCCGAAGAAGATACACCTGGTCCCCTGGGGAGAGCTTCTCAGAGGAGACCCCAGGGGCTATGACTAAAGGATGAGCTGGAGTCAGGTGCACACCTGTCATCCAGCACTCGGGAGGCTGAGGCAGGAGGATTGCTGAGAGTTCAAAGAGAGCCTGGACTACACAGTGAGTTCCAGGCCAGCCTGGGCTACACAGTGGGACCCTGTCTCTAAATAAATAAATAAATAAATAAATAAATAAATAAATAAATAAATGGATTAGCTGGAGCAGAGGGGACCAGTCTGGACCAGAAGAGGAGACAGTCAGGGGAAGACTGGACTGGCCAGGAGTCAGGAGGAGCAGAATGGCCGGGCTGCCCCTAGAGCTGGGCTGGTGATGAGGCTGAATGTGAGGAGCTTGAGGGTTAACCCCAAAAGGCAGCCGAATGCTAGGGCCTAGCCTGGGAGGGAGGAAGTCACCAGTACAACAGAAATTTGGGGCAATTTTTAAACTTCTTTTGAAATTATTGCAGAATAGTACAAATGATTTCCGTAAGCCTGATTCACCAACCAACTACATTTTGCCTCACTTGTCTTATGATTTCTTTTTCTTTTCTTTTTTGAGACAGAATCTCATTAAGTCACTCTTGGGGTCCAGGGATTTAGCTCAGTGGTTCCACTGCCTACCTCACAAGCGCAAGGTCCTGAGTTCGATCCTCAGTACCAAAAAAAAAGTCACTCTTGGGATTCTTCTGCCTCAGCCTCCCAGAATGCTAGGATTATAGGCATCCACCGACCATGCCCAGCTTATCTTATAATTTTATACACATGCATATATGTGTGTATATATTACTTTTTTTGGCTCAACTGTTTGATTTTGTGTTGGTTTGGTTTTTTTGAAACAGGGTCTCACTATGCAGCCCAGGCTAGCCTTGAACTCACTATGTAGCCTAGCCGGTATTGAATTTGTGGTGATTCTCCTGCCTCAGCCTCCTGAGCGCTGGGATGACAGGTGTGTGCCACCATACCCAGCTGGTTCATCTGAAGGCAAGCGTGATGTTCCTTTGCCCCCAACTACTTCTCTGAGTGTTCTCTGAGATCAAGACATTCTCCTGCACAAATGTACCACAGTTCAGCGTGTGCTGGTTGCCCCCTTTCTGCTGTGTTTTTATGATTGCCCCTCGGATCATATACTGTATCGAATCATCACATCTCCTGGTCTCCTTCAACCTGAATTAGTTCCTCTTCCTTTTCTTTCATGACGTGGACACTTTTGGAGAGGTGAAGTCAGTTCTTTCCAAGGATATTGGCGGGTTTCTTGTGACTAAGTTCAGGTTGAGCATCTTTGAGATACAGTCCCAATCCCAACCCCTTTTCAGAGACAGGGTTTTCCCTGTGTAGCAAGCCAGGCTGGTCTCAAACTCATGATTCTCCTGCCTCAGGCTCCTGAGTGCTGAGATTACAGGTGTGCACCACAGTGGCACTCAGTGGTGAATAAACTTTCTCTTTTTTTTTCCACTACTGGCGATCCTACTTAGGACTTTGCACTTTTGAGGCGGGCGCAGTGCCACTGAACTAAATCCCCAGCCCTATTCTCCTGTAGGGAGACACACTGAGACTATGTGGATACCATGGCACCCATTAAACTTTGTTTTTGGTTTTGTACTTCTGATTAAACCCAGGGGTGTTTTACCACTGAACTACATTCCATTCTCTTTTTATCTTTTTTTTGGTACCAGGGATCAAACTTGGAACCTTGCACTTGCAAGGCAGGCGGCAGAACCACTGAGCTAAATCCTCAGCCCCCCTTTTTATCTTTGAGACAGGGTCTCAGTAAGTCACTAACTTGCTGGAGCTGAGTTCAAACTTGTAACCCTCCTGTCTCAGCCTCTCAAAATACTGGGATTCAAGCTGTGTGCCACCTTGCCTGGCTCATTTACTGAGTTTTTTGTTTTGTTTTGTTTCATTTACTGTTTAAAGTGTGCGATTCAGTGGCATTGAGTGCATTGACAGTGCTATGCAACCATGACTTGTATTTAGTCCTAAGACATTTTCATTACCCCCACAGGAGACCAAGTCCCCAGGAGCAGTCATCCCATTTTCCTGTTCCCCCAACCTCTAGCAATCACTAATAGGATTTCTGTGTCTATGGATTTGCTTGAGCAAGATGTTTCCTATAAGTGGAATCACGCAAGATGTGGCTATTTGTGTCTGACCTTGAGAAATTCAGCCACATTATGGCAGGGGTCAATTTCTTTTTTCTTGTTTGTTTTTTGTTTTGCTTGGTTTGGTTTGGTACCGGCTATTGAACTCAGGACCTTGCACTTGCAAGGCAGGTGCAGTGCCACTGAGCTTCATCCTGGCCCTTTCTTGTTTGTTGGGAAAGTGTCTTGCAGTGTAGCCAAGGCTGGCCTCAGACTTGCAATCTTCCTGCCTCATCCTCTTTAGTGTTGCGATTACAGTTGCAGGACACCATGCCAAGGTACTTCATTCTTGTGTGTGTGTGTGTGTGTGTGTGTGTGTGTGTGTGTGTTTTACTGGACATTGCAGAGAGGGCCTCAGCCTTGCCAGATAAATGCTCCACCACTGAGCTACAGCCCCGACCCAAGAGCTGAGATTTTTTTTTTTTTTTTCTTTTGAGACAGGGTCTTACTATGTAGTTCAGGCTGGTTTGAACTCACTATGCAGCCCAGTCTGGTCTCAAACTCACGCGATCTTCCGATCTCAGCCTCCCAAGTACTGGGATTATAGGTGTGCATCACCATGTCTGGCAAGAGCTGAGATTTGAAGTTCGACTTGCTTGACTCCAGGCCACAAGGGTGGGGTGGGGAAGAGGAGTAAATGTTGGACAGAGAAAAAGGCAAAAAAGTTGCATAAGAGGGACACACATTCACTAACCTGTGCTGAGTCAACTGGCCCAGAGGGCAGGCACAGCTCAAGTCCTTTCTCCTGCCACCAGCCAGGAGGAAATCCAAGTCCCCACAGCCTCTGCAGCCCGGCTTTCAGACCCCTGGAGCCAGGCTTGGCCCTCTCCAGCCCCTTTGGGAGCCCGGGTCATCTGCCTGTTAGGCTCTCTCTACACAGCAGCTCTGTCCTGTCAAGGCTGTTGCCCATACTCTCCTCTGCCTGCGATGGAAGGACTTGGGTTTCCCCCCCAAGCAGCAACCAACAGCAAATGTGTTCTTTTCAAAAATGCACTTTTGGGCCAGAGATTTAGCTCATTGGCATTGTGCCTGCCTCACAAGTCCAAGGTCCTGAGTTCAATCCCCAGTACTGGGGGAAAAAAATGCACTTTCACATACCTCTGTCATCTCAAAAAATAAAAAACTACCACTAACAACAACAACAACAACAATAAAATGCACTTTCAGGGCACTTGTGGTATGTGTACTTGTGATCCTAGCCAGTCAGGAGACTGAGGCAGGAGGATTGCAAGTTTGAGGCCAGCTTGGGCAACTTAGCTGACCTAAGGAGACCCTGTCTCAGAATAAGAATTTCAGTACTTTAAAAATTAGTTTTTGGTTCTTTGATATAGAATCTTGCTATGTAGATCAGGCTGGCCTTGAACTCACTGTGTAGCCCAGGCTGGCCTCAGAACTCATGGTAATCCTCTTGCCCCAGCCTCCCAAGTGCTGGGATGACAGGTGTGCACCACCATGCCTGGCTCCAGAATAAAAACTTAGCTGGGGATATAGCTTAGTGCACACACAGGGATACCTTGCTCTCATTGTAGGGACTGCCCTGTTTCCCACAATGGCACTTCATCGCCCATGCTGGGCCTTCTTCCTCACAAGCCCATGCCCCCTATTCCTGTGGCAGATGGCATCAGATTCATTCAA